GATGGTGTTAACGAACAGAAGTTTGTTTTCTCACAGTTTAGAAGGCTGAAAGTCTGAATTCAGGGTGCCAACTCTCTCTCTCTCAGGTCCTTGTCTCCTTTCAACGTTCCTTGGAGATCTCCATGTGTCTTGGCATCTGTTTTCTCCCTGGGTCTAGGAAGTTCTCAGTATAGGAACCCCCAGGTCTAAAGGATGAACTCTGCTTCCATCTCTTTTCTTGGTGATAGTGAAGTCCCTCCCCTCTCTGCTCTCTTCTTTTATCTCTTGTAAGGTGTGACTCAGGCGAGGGTGTGACTTAAGTAGGGTATGACTTGAATCACGCCTTGTTGTAAGGCTGTGACCCAGGATACACCCCACACTGATCCTGCCTCATTAACTTATAGACATTAGGATTTATAACACATCGCAAAATGGAAGGTAGTTACATCAGATCACAAAAATAGAGAACAACCAGACAATACTGGGAATCATGACCTAACCAAGTTGACACATATTTTTTGGGGACGCAATCCATGACACTAGGCAACCTTAGTAAGTAAGTGGTTTGTGGTGCCTTCTGATAGGTGAGGTCCTGTGCAGGTCAACGCTGTGATCACAGGAACGCTAAATGAAGCAAGCTTTTTGTTGAGCCTCCTACGTGCCAGGCATAGAGTGAGGGAGCGTTTACTCTCGGAGGTACATGGTGTCTGTGTTGTACAGATAAAGAAGCTGAGATTCAGAGCGGCAAAGCAACTGCCCCAGGCAAAGAGTAAGGCTGGGCTGCAAGCTCAGGTCTACTAAAGCCTGTTCTTCCCGTTTATGGTGTCCCACTGCCTTGCTGGGCCACATCTGCTCTTCTGGCTCTCTGAATTTCTTCTTTGGAGGGACTGAGGTGTGAAGACACAAACCAAAAAGCCTAACCCATGGCTATTGTGTCAATTCTGACTCAGAGCAACCTTCTGGGACAGAGTAGAACTGCCCCATAGAGTTTCCAGGGAGCTCCTTGTGGATTCAAACTGCCGACCTTTTGGTTGGCAGCCATAGCTCTTAACCACTACGCCACCAGGGTTTCTGTGAAGACACAGGGAGGTCTCAGATACTGAGCCCTGACAGGCACCTTGGGAGGTAACACAAGTTTTGGGACTAAGCTCCTGTCTCTAGGACTTCATGTAGTCCAGGTGAGGGGGTAAGCTCAGCCTGGTGGGAACAGTATGAGGCACGGTGTCCTAAGGGCCACTGTAGGATTTCAGAGGAAGGAAAAAGGAGTGAGCAGATAGAGGGACCTGGAGGATGGCTGCCTTTTAGTGAAGGCGTGAAGAAGGAGTGGGGGGGGCAGGGGAGTTGCAGAGCAGAGCAGCTGTCTTGAGGTAAGACTGTGTGGGTGCTTGTTGGGGACCTGGAGCGGGTGGGGCTGGGGTGGGACCTGGTAGAGGTGGAAGCAGAGGGTGGGTGGGGTGAGCTCTGGAACCTCTTTCCCTCCTGGTGTGTGGCTCCCCCCTCCCCCGGGTGTTTGCCACTTTCCTTCTCTTCTGCCCCTTTCACTCCAGCCACCCTAAACAAGTGAGTACCTAGGGAAGGGCCTAGGCTACTGAATGGACAGTGGCAACACTGGACCCACCCGTGGGGTTGATGAGGCCACCCAGCTGCCACACCCTCTGTGCTCATAGCCAAATGATTGTCATTGGCAGAGTCAGGATAAATGGATCCTTACCCAGCTCTGCTACTCGGTGATCTCAGCTGCAAGCCCTCGACAAGTGGATTGAGCCTTTGTAGGTCTCAGTTTCCCTGTCTGTGCAGGGGAGTAGGCAGAAGAGACGTCATCTGCCGGGGTGGCTAGGATCAAGTAATAACAAAGCATATTCAGGTCAGACTTCCTGTGACTAGCCACCAGATGGATGGCTTCCCAGCGGAGGGCCTGACCTGGTGGACAAGAACCTGCCCCTAATCCGAAACCAGCCTGGCTTCAGCTTGTTTCCTCAGAGGCGCCAGGGGCAGGGTGGGAGCTGTACTGTAGCCTTTTAGACCCTAGAAAAAGATGAAAACCAGAGGACAGGATCGTCTGGACTGGAGGCAAAGGCTGGAAACCGAGCTGGGAATGTGGGAAGGATCCCCTGTACCCCACCCCCACCCCAAGCAGGAGACTTTGTGCTGAGAACTTGTTATTTAAGGGGGCCTCTGGGGAGGCCTGGCCAGAAAGGAGCCATTTGAGGGAGGGTTTAAAATTAGCTAGCCTGGGTGAATGGGTAGTCCTTGGGGAGGAACTGAGGCAGAGATTTCTGTGGGGCGGCTCTGGCTCTGGGTCTCCTCTTGACCCAAACCCTGTCCTGCCCATCCCTGGGAGGACGGAGGAGAAGGGAGCAGAGGCTGTGCGGGTCCAGCAGGGCTGTGGCCGGCTGCACTCTGCTCTGTCAGTTCACCGAAATGGGAGGACTTGGCTCTGGGGGTGAGGTGGGGGCAGACCCTGAGCCACCCTGACGGCCGGATGCCCAGGTCCAGTTGTGCTTTCCTGGCACCCAAAAGCTGGGGTCATCTCTGCCAGCCTGGAGGAGCAGTAGAAGACCTGGGTTTCGAGTCACAGGTTTGCTGCCTTTAAAGAACAAGCTGTGTGTCCGTGGGCAAGTCACTGCTGTTTGGAGGTTTACACTTAAAATTCAAGGCCCTCGTATTAAGGGCCCGGATGTAGGGATGATTGTGCTCTGGATTCCAGGAGCTCTGTGTAGCCCACCCTGAAACCTCAGCTGTCCAGTTTCCCCCAGGTGCTACTGGGAACGGGGCTGGACTTGAGAGCTGTGCATCAAGCTGCAGAAGTCGCCAAGGGCTGTGAAATGTCAGCTTCTCCCAGGCTTGGGAAGCAGACGCAGGGAAGGTGGTGGCTCTGGCTAGGGAAATGCATTACCAAAGTGGGCGATGCAACTTAAATGGCGAGAGATTCCCGTTTATATTCGCTAGCTGTGCTTCTTGGCGAAAACTCACATGAGGGAAGCTTGTCTTCCCCATTCTTTATCAGCCAAGCACTGGGCGTCATTGTTGTGTGGGTGGGGTGGGGACACCTATCTTGCTGGTTTTCTTTGACATTCCTCTGTTGAGGGATGTGTGTGCGTGCATGTGTGCGCGTGTGTGTTGGAGAGTAGGTGTTGGGTATAATGCATGGCACTGCTCCAGGTTCCCGACAGAAGTCATTGTATTAAGAAGGCTGTTGGCTGGACTCAGCAGGCCACCACTGGAGCCTGGAGGACGTTCTTTGGTACCTCTGGAGAAGGTGTGGCCCACTCACTGTCGGGCATCTAAATGCTTTCAAGAGTTGCTACGTGATGAGCTGGGGTGAGACGTCAATGTTTCTTAGGTCAGCAGTGGTGAGTTGAGATCTATGCTTGGCTTGTGGCATTTAAATGAAGCTCAAATGATTTTCCATTCTTCAGGAAGCCTTCATGTTGCCACTATTTCAAGAGGTGTTTTCAATGGATCTGAAATGCCACAGACAGTTAAGCACGTGACTACTAGCAGAAAGGTTGGAGGTTCAAACCCACTCAGAGGCACCATGGAAGACAGGCCTGGCAATCTGTTTCCAAAAAATCATAGTCTTGAAAACCCTGTGGATGAATTTTACCCTGCACATGTAGAGTTGCCAAGAGTCAGAAATAACAACAAACTACGTAAAATCTCTCCCTCACCCGACATTACAGTTATTAGCTGATCTGGGCTTGCTGGCTTAGCAGGGTGCCTGCGGCATTTAAACAGCGGTGGTGAATTAGGAAAGTGTTTCTGCCAGGCACCTTCTTGTGGGCCTCACCTGCAGTTCAGGAGGTCAGGCTGGGTGGAGTCGCAAGGTGGACGGGCACCTGGTGTCTAGGCCTGGCTACCTGGTGTCTAATCCTGGCTTCACCACCAACTTTTAACCATATTGACATTAAGGAGTTAACTTACGGCATCATCTGCCTCACTCGAAGCTGGCAGGATCCTACTCATTCTTCCAAACCCAGCATAATTGTTCCCTCTCTGAGGCCTCACCCAGTTCCCCTGTTCATTCAGGGAGCATTTAGTACCAGGGCCGTGCCTGGAGGTGAGAGTACAGCACAGTCCCTGCTTTCTGGAGCCTGCTTCTAGCGTGGGTAGCAGCAGGAGCTGGATCAGAGGGTGCCAGGCCCGCGCGCGCTTAATCTCTCCAGGGCAAACTGGGCCTTGGGACTTGTGCTCCATTCACATTGCCGCCTCTCGCCCAAGAGCCTATGGGTATCTTCTGAAAACAGAGATACGTTTTTACTTGTGAAATATATTCCCAGTTAAATGACGGGCCTTTTTGGGAGGGGGATGGAGTGTTGGAGAGAGGCAGGGTGTTCTCTTTTTCCCCTTAGCCTGTTGGTTTTGTGATTTTTGACAGCCGGGCAGGTGCAAAAGAAGCCAAGGATGCGTTTTTGTGCATTTTTGGGGTGAAAAAGCATGCAGCTTTCCTCAGATCCTCGGAGGAGTCCTAGATCTGAAAAAGGGTCCTTGGTCTGTGCCGTTCCTTAAACGGGGCCTGCTCTTCTCACCTCTGAGTCCGTGCACAGAGGCGTCCACTGGCTCGTGTTAATGACACCTTCAGGATGCTGTGAGCCTAGAGAAAGGAAGGGTCACCGGAAGGGCTTTGGAAAAGTCAAATGCTGCGAAACTGTCGTTGTCATTGTTAGGTGCTGTCGAGTCTGTTTTGACTCACAGCGACTGCGTGTGACAGAGTAGAACTGCCCCATAGAATTTTCTGGGCTCTGATCTGTACAGGAGCAGATTGACAAGTCCTTCTCCCCAGGAGTTGCTGGGTGGGTTCTAACCGCCAGCCTTTCAGTTGGCAGCCGAGTGCTTCACTGATAGGCCGTCAGGGCTTCTTGCTTCTGAAACCTTTGAGTGGTGGTTTGCCTCTGCACCCGAAGGAGTCCAGGAAATACCTAATTCCTCCCTAAGCTCCACAAGGACTCCAGTTTCCTGCCTGAGGGAAGAGCTGTCCTCCTTGTCTAGCTGGCCCTGACCACTGTGGTCTCTGTCCCCAGGTCCGGACACTGTTTGTCAGTGGCCTCCCCGTGGACATTAAACCAAGAGAACTTTACCTGCTCTTCCGGCCGTTCAAGGTGAGTCTGTGGCAGAGCCTGGCTCTGATCTGGACTGGGAGCAAGAAGACGTGGGAAAGTGTTGTCAGAAGGTGCAGTTGCTGACCTGGGTCTCTGCTGGTTCTGCTCATTCACGTGTTGCCTTTGGTCAAGTTGCTTGGTTCTGCTGAGCCTCTGTTTCCTCATCTGTAAAGTGGGGGCAATAGAGAATCTTAATAGACTTTTCCATGTAAGGAATCGTTGTGATTCAGTCTAGCCTCTTCAGTTTGCACAAGAGAAAGCTTAAAAGGTAAGGTCTGTGACCTGGGATTACGAGCTAGTGGAGCAAATGGGAGTTTATGCATGAATTGGTGAAGGCTGCCGCGTGATGCCCGCCCCTCGTGCTGGACCATGTGGTACTCAGCACCAGGGGCAGCGGCACCAGTGGTGGAGGTCGGAGTGGTCCGCTTTGGTGGGGGAAAGGGAGTGACAAGGATGCAGGTGAGTCCTGGGGAAAGGTGGGGCTGGTGGGGGGAGGGGCTGGGATAGCACCCCCAGGCTCTGTCCTTCCCTGCTCATGGTCCCCTCTCTCCACAGGGGTATGAAGGGTCCCTGATCAAGCTCACATCAAGACAGGTAATTTCTCTGCTAGGTTTTGGTTTCCCCAGCCCAGACTGACTGCCCAGCTTAGAACTGAGGCCTGTTGCTCTTTGCCTTAGCTTGAGGTATCTGGCTGCTGAGGCCCACGCCCTGCTGGCCCGTCTCTGTCCTGGGCCAATGGAAGGACAGCCTCCATAGGTCCTTTCTCCTCACTACCAGCCATCCAGGCCCCATCAGCTCTGAGAATCAGAAACCCCAGCCTGGTCCCCCATGGCTAAGCAGCAAGGAGGCCAGTTCCCAGGGCCAGCCAGGGTCTGCACTGATCCTTGGTGATGTGAGGTTGGAGAAGTTTTCAACCTGCTGCCCCTTGGTTGAACCCGGGGCCTTCCTGTGCCCTTGATACTTTGAGGTCCCATTTCTCCTGGGGAAGACACTGAGGCTTACTCTTCATTATCTGCATTAAGAAAAGACTCCTATTGAAAGGTTGGTGTTTAAGATGGTGGAATAAAGCTTTGCTGGCTTTATTTCCCACACCATGGTACCTGGGAGGGAAGGTCCTTGACTTGCTGTACTCGAACCTCCTGCTCCAGCTGAAGGTGGAGAAGACATGGGCAAGGGTTGTTTTTTTTTTTTTTTCTCCTCTGTATTCTCTTCTCATCAGCAGGACAATGCTGTTTCTAGTTAAATGGCGGCCCTTTTTGGGAGGGGGATGGAATGTGGGGAGAGATGCAGGGTGTTCTCTCTTTTTCCTACTAGCCTGTTGGTTTTGTGATCTTTGACAGCCGGGCAGGAGCAGAAGCGGCCAAGAATGCATTGAACGTGAGTAGGCGGAGAGAACAGGTCTTTCTCTGACCCACAGACCTCTCAGGCAGCGGGTGCCCCTGTTCCTTCGTCTGCAGACCTCCCCCCACCCCGTTTCTGAGTGAACGGCATGTGCTTATTTCCCCGCCATCCCAGCAGACTCCTTGGCTGCACTGTGCAGGCCAAACCCCATTCCTCACCGGGGCCTAGCAGCACTCCTCTGCCTCAGGCCCCGTGTGGGGAAGCTCATCTCTGGGGCCTTCTGTACCCACTGTTGTTGACAGTCTGGGGCCTACAGAGTAAGTCTTTCTCTTCCTTTCCTTCCCGTGTAGGGTATTCGCTTTGATCCCGAGAATCCACAGACCCTGAGGCTAGAGTTTGCCAAAGCCAACACCAAGATGGCCAAGAGCAAGCTAATGGCAACACCAAATCCCAGCAGTGCTCACCCCGCCCTTGGAGCACACTTCATCGCCCGGGACCCCTGTGAGTGGTGGTGCCCTTTTCCTTGGCTGAGCTGGGGGCCCTGGTGGAGTTGCATACAGAAAGCAGACGTTCGGGTTCTGGTGGAGGGAATTAGTTCTGCCTGTCTGTCCTTTTCCAGGGGGCTTTTTTGCCACCCAGCTCTGACGCTTGCAGACTTCCTTCCTCCCCCAAAAAGGGCTGAGCTCCTGAGCTGTCAGGGTTGTCTAACCTCCCTGAAGCCTCCCCTGATTTCTCTTGGTTCGGATGGGCTGGGAACATCTCAGAAGCAGACAGAAGGCTCACCAGGCCAGGCCGGGTTATTACCATGGCTTCTCTACCTGGCCTCGGGGCCCTCGGGGAGTCTGACCTGAGTGGGGGGCTTGTGGATCAACCATAGTGCTGGGTCCCCTTCTCTGTGCGAAAGGGGATGGTGGAGGGGGAGACCAGTAGTGTTCTGATGATGGGGCTGTTGTCACCCATTGTAGATGACCTGATGGGGGCTGCTCTGGTCCCTGCATCCCCAGAGGCCTGGGCACCCTACCCTCTGTACACCACAGAGCTGACCCCAGCCATCTCACACACTGCGTTCACCTACCCAGCTGGCACTGCGGCCACCACTCTCCATGCTCAGGTGAGCCCCTGGGGGGTGGGAAGGGAAGAATGAGGCCTCTAAGCTGGCCAGACCTCATGCCCAAAGCTGTAGCCAAACTGTTGGCTTCCATGATGGTTTGAAAGCCCAGGCCCTGGGGATCTGTATTCTTGCCCTTAGGGTTTGGCATCTGCCTGAGGGGAGGGAGAAGATAAGCTGAGATGAGCTGGATAGGAGGCAGAAGGCTGTGAGTGCTGACAGACCCTGCTGGGTGCCACCCTCTGAACACCCATGGGCGGGTACTGAACTGTATTTTGCCTGTAGTGACAGACTCAGATCCCACCCTGAATGTAGCTTGTGGAGCCAGGATGCCTGCCTCAGCCTCTTCCGTCTTCGTGAACTTGAACAAGCCATTAAACATTTCTGTGCCTGATTTTTACTCAGCTGTAAAATAGGAATAATAACACAGGATGCGTCAGGGCTGCTGGGGGGATGAAATGTTGACACATGTAAGTTGCTAGAACCTTCCCTGGCATGGCTGCACTTGCGTTCATTAAGCCTGGACCTTCTCCATCATGAACCTGTGCTGAGGTGGGAAAAGGCATGAGCATTTTTAGAGGAGGCCTGGGGGAGGGGTCCGAGCCGGCCCAGGAGGGCTCCGCCCACCCCAGAGCCCAGTGCCCGAGAGACCATGAGAGCTGGTGGCCCGTGGGCAGGGAGAGGCTCAGTCTGGTCAGACTCTGGCCCCAGCCGTCCTGGTGTTGACTCTGGTCTGACTCTTCCCCACATACAGGACCCTCAGGGAACGCACTGTAGGGGTGGCTTGTCTAGATGTGGCAGGGGGCGCCTCACAAAGCTAAGGACTGGACGGGGTGTGGATAGGACACTGCCAGGCAGTCACAGGCGGTGGCGGCTGAGGAGCGGTCACAAACCCAGCTCGGTGTCTGATCAGCGGGGAGACTGAGTGAGCTGAGCAACGAGCCAGGGTGTGCCGCGCCGCTGAGGGTGAGAACAGAGGTTCCTTGAAGCTGGCCCGGCGGGCAGTAGGGCTGGAGGGGGAGGGGAAGAAAAGGCTGGAGAATGAGGAGGGGCGAGCTCCTAGGAACCGGAACCGGAAGCTGGAGGTGGAAGGACAGGACGGGAGGGCGCGGTGCTCTGATCCCACCCCAGGTGCCTGCCCGTCCTCAGGGCCCCCAGGGGCTAAGTGACATCTGGGTTCTCCCCGTTTCAAGGTAGAAAGCTCAGATTCAGGGGCTACCTTGGCCCAGTTGTTTCCCCCAGCAGAATTCTCCCAGACCGTGGCAACGTTGGGTCGTGCTGAGGGCAAGATAGGGGTTAAACCTGGCACTCTTCCCCGACAGAGCACCACAGACAACCAAGCGGAAAAGTGATTAGAGGGTAGGAAGGTGGTAAAGACCTTGAGGAGGAGAGTGTCTGGCCATTCACCGCAAACTCCCGTCTGTGGTGAGAGGGGAGCCACCAACAAGCAAGGTGGTCCTGTCCTCTGACTCGGTGTGTGGGAGAGGCCGGCAGCTCCTCCCTGCTCCCCTAAGGGTCAGGGGTGTAACTGCAGGGGGCCCGTGAGGCTCTGGATGGGAGACAGGCTCGCGTCTGGCAGGGCTCCTGGCTTCTGATCCCGGCTTTGCCACCCACCCATTAGCTACCTGATCTTTGGCCTCTGGGCTCCGTGTCCACATTCTGTAAAATGAGAGGGTTAGGCCAGATCAGGTGGAAAGGTTCTGCCTCATCCGCTTTGGGATGCTAGGCATGAAGACAGAGAGGCAGAGAGAGGGTGGGAGCCAGGGACAGTGAGTTCCTCAGATAATCAGGGGAGGGACCTCTGCCCTTTTCGGGGTGGCCCCCAAGCTGGCCAAGACAGGCACACTGCCTCCCCGAACTCTGTACCGCAAGCTAGTCATCTCTTTCCTGCTGTCTCCGTTTCCAGCTTCCTCCCACTGTAGCCACTGCACTGCCCAACTCTAGTCAGCTGTTACTAGCTGCTGTCAAGTCGATTCCAACTCATGGCGACCCCACGTGTGCAGAGTAGAGCTAGCTGCTCTGTAGGGTTTTCAAGGGTGTGACCTTCTGGAAGCAGATCGCCAGGCCTGTCTTCCAAGGCGCCTCTGCATGGGTTCAAACCCCCAGCCTTTCAGTTAGTAATTGAGTGCTTAACCATTTGTCCCACCCAGGGGTTCCCTGGTCTAGCTGCCTCAGTCCAAATCCTGGCTCTGCCTTTCAACAGCTATGTGACCTGGGGCAAGTTACTTCACCTCTCTGTCTTGCTTTCTTTGTAAAATGGTGATAACGGTACCTACTTCATAGGGTTGTTATTAGCATAGAGGAGGTGCTGTAGAAGTGCCAGTTATTTATTATTATCATTATTGTCTGGTTGGAGGCCCCCCCAGTGTCTGAATTCCTGCCTTCTGGCATCTGTGGAAGGGGAATGGGACCACCCCAAAGGATAGTGGCATTTTGGGGGAGGCAGACTAACAAGAAGAGATTAGACCAGGTGATGATTAGTGCTGCCTTTGCTATTCAAGCTCTCTGGGCATCCATTTCCTCATCTGTAAAATGGGCTGTTAGAACCGAACGGGTACGAAAGCGTTTTCCGTGGAGTAGCATTTTCTTCTTTTCCTTCCTAGAGCCCCCCTCCCCCCATGCCTCCCGATAGCATTGCCCCAGAGAGGGAGGCTGAAAGCGCTTAAAGGAAGTGGTCACTGTTAACCCCAGGTAGATTTTTCTGAACCCAGAGGACCAGTTGGAAAAACTAATTGGGCTTTTTTGTGCCTCAGGACAAGGAGGTGACTTGAGAGAAGGTAGTAGCTAAGACGAAAGGGGGTGAGAACCAGTTGTCCTTCCTCTACCCCAACATACACACCCCAACTGCAGGCCCTTTGCTACTGTCCCAGCCTAAGCAGAGGCATCCACGCTGTCTGGCCACAGGAAGCAGGCCTGCGGGAAGGGGGCTTGGGAGTCATTCAGTCCTGCACTGTCTTGGCAGAATGCCATCTTGGTTGGCCTCCTGATCATCTTGGTAGAATCTTCCCCTTTCAGTGGGTAAGGCAGGCAAGCAGGTGTGGGTAGCAGGGCCCACGGGGGCCTGGCGCACAGAGATGCTGGCCTACAAGCAGGTGTGGATAGCAGGGCCCATGGGGGCCTGGCGCACAGAGATGCTGGCCTACAAGCAGTTGTGGATAGCAGGGCCCATGGGGGCCTGGCGCACAGAGATGCTGGCCTATAAGCAAGGATTCTCCGTTCCTCTTGCATCCCGGGGTCCTCCCCGGCTAGATTCCGGTTCCCATTTTAACCTGAGGAATTGAAGATCTTTCACCATGACCTCTTCCCCTTCAGCCATTTACTCATAACCTTGAAGTTATATAAACTCCCTTGCCTCTGTTTTCTCATCTCTATAATGGGAATGGAGTCCCTGGATGGTGCGAACACGCTCGTTGCTAATCGAAAGATTGGAGGTTCGCGTCCACCCAGAAGTTCCTTGGAAGAAAGGCCTGACAATCTACTTCTGAAAAATCAAGCATTGAAAACCCTATGGAGCACAAATTCTACTCTGACACAGTGGGGTGTCATAATGAGGATAGTAATAATACCAACTTCATAGGGTTTTTGTGTGGATTAAATGAACTTGATAAATGAAAACTTTAGGAACAGTGTCTGGCCACATGGTGAGTGCTTCAGAAGCATTAGCTGTTATTACTGTCATGGTTATGCCTTTATGGAAGAAAACAGGAGCAGGAATTTTTTTCTTCTTTTCCCTTTGGCTTATCATTTTACTCCCCAGAAAACCACGACAGCATTTTAGTCCTTAGACCTGGTAGGTGGTTGGATGCAGGTGTGAAAATAAAAGAAATTCATAGTTGTGAGTCTTTTATAAAAATTACTAATGCACATTTTTAATCTTTTTGTAACTTAAATATAAGGACTCCCCCCCACCCCCAACTTTAATCCGTGTAGTAGACTTCTTTGGGATAATGTACAACCCACAAAAAGATTCCCATTTGGGCATGCAAGGGTTACAGATTTCCCCCTCCCCCCTCCCCACAGCCCCTGGCAACCACTAATCTTTGGTCTCTATGCCTGTGCCCGCTCCAGATATTTCACAGAAGTGGGATCATACAGTATTTGTTCTTTTGTGCCTGACTTATTTCACTGACCATAACGTTTTCAAGATTCATCCATGTGGTAGCATGTGTCAGAAATTCATTTCTCTTTATGGCTGAAAAATATTTCATTGTATGTATATGCCACATTTTGGTTTGGGTCCAGCTTCATTCTTTTGCATATGGAGATCCAGTTGTCCAAACACCATTCATTGAGGAGACTAGTCTTTCCCTCATTAAATGGATCCGGCGCTCTTCAAAAATCAGTTAAACATTGATAGGTGTATGGGTTTATTTCTGGGTGCTCAGCTCTGTTCCATTGGTCTATATGTCTGTCCTTATACCAGCACCACACCATTTTGATTACTGTGGCTTTGTAATACACTTTGAAATGGAGTAGTGTGAGTCTTTCAACTTTGTGCTTCGTTTTCAAGATTGTTTTGGCTACTTGAAACCCCTTGCAATTCCATGTGAATTTGAGAATCAGTTTTTCCATTTCTGCAAAATAGACTGCTGGGATTTTAATAGGAGTTGGGTTTCTGCAGATCTCTTTGGGTAGAACTGGCATCTTAATATGTAATATTAAGTCTTCATTTATTTAGGTATTTTTTAATTTTTTTTCTGCAGTGTTTTATAGTTTGCAGTGTAAAGATAAAGATCTTTCACCTCCTTGGTAAAATTTATTCCTAGGTATTTTATTCTTTTAGATGCTATTGTAAAAGGAATGATTTTCTTAATTCCCTTATCAGATTGTTCATTGTTAGTATATAGAAACAAAACTGCTTTCTGTGTGTTGATCTTGTACCCTGCAACTTTGCTGAATTTGTTTATTAGCCCTATAGCTTTATTGTGGACTTTTTGGGATGTCTATCTGTGGTATTGAGTTACCTGTAAATAGAGTTTTACTTCTTTTCCGATTAGGATGCCTTTTACTTCTTTTTCTTGCCTAGGTATCCTGGCTAGGACCTTCCAGTACAATGCTGAACAGCAGTAGTGAAAGCAGGCATCCTTGTCTTGTTCCTGATCTTAGGGAGAAAGCTTTCAGTCTTTCACCATTGAGTGTAGTGTTTGCTGTGGGTTTTTCTTTTTCTTTTTATATATATGCACAAAAGCTCTTTTTATTTATTTATTTATTTTATTGTACTTCAGGTGAAGGCTTACGGAACAAATAGTTTCTCATGAAACAGTGGTACACATATTGTTTTATGACATTGGTTAACAACCCCACAACATGTCAACCCTGTAACTTCTCAACCTTTTTTTTTTTTGGTGAAAATATACATAGCCAAAGATAACACCATTTCAAAAATTTCTGCATGCACAGTTCAGTGACATTGACTACGCTCTTCCAATTGTGCTGCTATTCTCACTTAAGATGAAGGCTTACAGAACAAAATAGTTTCTCATTTAACAGTTACTACACACGTTGCCCTATGACAATGGTTAACAATCTCACAACACATCAACAATATCCTTACTCAACCTTGGGTTCCCTATCACCAGCTTCCTTGTCCCCTTCTGCCTTCTGGCCCTTGTCCCTGGACTGCTGTACCTCATTAGTCCCATTTGGTTTTACGGGGCTGTCCACTCCCAGGCTGAACAGTGAACCTCGGAGATAACTTCACCACTGAGCTAAAAGGGTGTCCGGGGGCCATACTCTCAGAGTTTCTCCAGTCCCTGTCAGGCCAGTAAGTCTGGTCTTTTTTTGTGAGTTAGAATTTTGTTCTACATTTTTCTCCAGCTCTGTCCAGGACTTTCAGTTGTGATCCCGGTCAGAGCAGTCAGTGGTGATAACTGGGTACCATCTACTTGTACTGGACTCAGTCTGGTGGAGTCCTTTGGACTAATCTTTCCCTTGTATCTTGTTTTCTTCATTCTCCCTTGCTCCCAGTGGTATCTTTTCTGGCTTCGGTATCTGAGTAATGCTGGCCTCACAAAAAATATTAGGACATTTTTTCTAGGTCGGTAGGTGTAAGTCGACATCTTGGAGTGGCTGGCTGGCACACCATTGTATAAACGAACGTAGCTCCCTGTCGATGGTAGGTTAGGCTGTGTATACAACTTTTTGCCCCTGCTAGGCTATACCGCAGTGCTCACACTTCTCTGGGCACATGTCCAGTTTATTTTCCTTATGATAAATTCCTGGAACATTTCAAGGTCAAAGTGTAGGCTTGGCCAGTCAGCATTCAGCAAGACTAGGGATTATTTTAATTGACTTTGTGGTGAGTGAGGCTTCCATATTTATTGCCTATTCATATTTTTCCCCTTGTGGATTCATTCCTTTGCCCACTCTGTTAGCATATGCTCTCAGTTCTAAGATTTGAGAGAGGGCCGAATTTGTGCCTCCCTTCCTTGTTTTGATGCCGCCCCCCTGGAGCCAGTGGACCTGTCCCAGTGGGATGGCCTCTTGGGAGCCTCCACTGCCCCCCTGTGGACAGCTGGGGACTCTGACAGGAGAGCAGCTGCCCCATGACGCGCTGGCCCTGCCCTGCCGGGCTGGAGTGGGCGGGGGTCCTCTGCCGTCCTTGTTCTGAGCTAGGGCAGGAAGAGAGACATCTGGAAAGGACCCTACTCTTCTCATAGAGGACCCCAGGCCCCGGCCCATGCTGGATGGCTGAGGGAGGCCAAAAAGCAGCCCCTCTAAATGTGTTCTGTCCCCTTCAGTGGCCCGGCTCTTCTGAGCCCATAAATGGGATCTTTCCTCTCCTTCCTCCCCAGAGAGTCCGCTGACTCATCTTGGGCTGGAGGGAAGGCTGCTGCTTTGGAGGCAGGCAGCTCAGCACCTTGTGGGACTGGATCAAGCAGGCGCCTGAGGCCCCAGCCTCCCCAGTGGTTAAAGAAGGGTGAGTGGTGGCTTCCTGGGCTCTCCCAGCTGTCATCTGATGTGCTCCCGTGGCCCAGCACTGCAGGGCACCTCCTTGCTGTGGGGCTGCTCCGGCTGGAGGCTGGGTGAGAGCGGATGTCAGGGCCCAGCAGGGCGTCCCTGAGCTGGAACACACCATGGGCCTCTCTTGTCCCTGTCATGAAATGAGTGCTAGCGTCCGGCTGGCCTTCCGCTGAGAGGGCTTTCCAAAGCTCAGCTGTCAGCCGAGAGGGGAAAAAACTGGTTCCAGATGTTAGGAGACAAGACAGAAAACAGGGCCTCCTAGGCTGGATAGCTCAGAGCACGAAGAGTCTCCTGACCCCGAGGACAGAGCCTTTGTCTGGAGTTGGCTGTACCCTGGTGACAGCAGTGCCACTTCCTCAGACCCCAGGGAGGGTCCTGGTAGGTGGCCAAGGGCCTGGTCCTGCTGCGTGCCAGTGTCCTGGCATCTTAGGGTAGCCAGCTCCTAACTTCCTACCAGACTCCTGGGAGTATGTGATGGGCAGAATCCTGTAATAAAGCACCTTGTAGAGAGGGTGCAGGAACAAGTTCTTAGGAGCCTCTCTTCCATCAGCCCCCTGATGGCCTGGCATTGCTTGAAATCTCTGCTTACCCAAGAGGCGAAGATTCTAGGCAGCCAAGTGGGTAACTGCATCCACCTGCTTCTCCTAATTTCCACAACGGCTCTCGTGTGCCATCCCTTCCTTTCCTAAGGGGCCTGGATCTCTGCTGTAGGTACTCATCCCCCCTCGCCCATGGGGTCTTCTGGTGCCTGGCCGCCCCTCTGTCCCAGGCAGCCATAGTTCGGGCTGTGTGTATACCTGGGGCAGCGCCTTCCCGGCAGCCTTGCTTGACGGCCGGCACTGCTCGCCTTCCCGGCGACCAGCCCACAGGGTGAGGGGATGTGTGTACTTCCCTTGGAATTTTAAAGTAATACCTAGTCTCTGGGAATCTTGCTTTGGGGCCAGATGGAGAGAAATGGCTACTGCTCCATGGGGCTTTCTGGCAAGTTCCAGGGTTTAGGTACCTGCCTGGCACAGGTTCCTAGTCTCTTCTAGACTTAGGAGGCTTGTAGTGAGGGAGCAGGGGCGTGGGGAAAAAGCATCAGCTGGGTCTCATCCGTGGCTTCCTCGGGGAATCACACAAGGATCAGGATCACTCACTGTTTGAGTACTACCCCAGGGAGACCGCAGTGACTCTGGATTTTCATGTTTTTACATCCTGTCTTATCTGGCCACCCCGCGCCTCAATCATCTCCATCATGTAGCTGGATTAGGACATTGAGGCCCAAAGAAGTTGGAGCAAACTGCATTAGGTGAATTCTCCTACCGTTAGGAGTTCTCGCTGTCCCAGTAAAAGGGGAGAAAGGTGAATGGTTGGCTCCAGGGCCCCCTGCTGTCAAGACCCCACCTGGTACAACCTGGCACAATCGGGCTTAGGGTGTATAAAACACCTCTGTAACCTTTATCTCATCCGAGCCTCTGCCCTGTGGGGCAGGCAGGTCAGGTGGTGTGCTGTTTGTTTTCAGGATGAAGAGAGTGATGCTTGGAGGTAAGTAATGGGCCTAACATTTGCCAGCCAGACAGGGACACAGGCCACGTTACTGGGCCCGGCCATTGTGGGGAGGGACTACACAGCCAGCCCCCGACTTTGGCTTCTCTTGCAGGTCCGCTGGTACCCTTCTTCTGACACCGCCCAGCAAGGATGGAAGTACCGTCAGTTCTGTTAGTTCTTCAGTAAGTGTCGGCCCCAAAGTTCAGGACAAGAAGCCTCCTAGGTCATGGCTTCCCTAGTCTTGAGAGCTTATTCTGGGGCACTCTGTCTTCTCCCTTCTCCTCCCACCCGTCGCTCCCGCCTCCCATCTGCACAGGGCACCTCAGGGTCCCTGAAGAACACAGAGAAGTCCTGGCTCAGCTTCACACTTCTGTTCACAGCCACCTCTTTCCCCTCCAGGTCTTGTCACTGCGGCTTGAAGCCCCTGCCCGCTGGGGGATCCTGGGAGTCGGTTTTGGGGATCCTGTAAGGTGGTGCCCGTAGCTTCCGCTGCCCCCAGGCAGCCGTGGAGAGCTGCTGCTTCCTCCAAAGACTGTGAATTTTAAGCCTGACTCAGTGGACTGCTTCCTGTTTCCTGTCTCGCCTCTTCTTCAGCCTGTCCTCCTTCCCAAGGCCTTTCTCCAAGGCCTCACGGGAGGATTCAAGGGCCACCTTGCTGGGACACCAGACTCCCCTCACTGGCCTCACTGGGACTGAGCAAGGCCCAGCCTCCTGTCCGAACTCTCTTTGGTAGCTCCACCTCAAGGAAATGAGACATTTATTTTGCATGTTTTCTGGCATGAGTTAAGAGACTTAAACTTGTGTATATGTGAGTCTACAGTTTGTTCTCACATTGGTGTCACCATAGCAACAGGTCCGTGGCCGCTCATGGCTCATCATTCCTGGTTGCTCCCCATGCCCCTCCCCCACGTGTCTGCCTGCTCCGGTGAGGACCCAGCTCTGCCCCAGTGGCCCCACCCCACACACTTCCAGGCTGAACAGCTACAACAAATCCCCAACAAACATACAGTGTTTTCTTTTCCATTTCAAATCAGGGTCCTCCACTTTCTTCTCAGATGGGCCAACAGCTGTCAGAAAGTCCTCTCTGTCCGCACTGCTTTCCCTCACCATAGCATGCCCCTCCCCCCTTGCCACTGGTCCTTACTTATTCTTTCCAAATTTCCAAACCAACCAAAAAGTGAAAGTATTTTTGTACCCTGTGTAACAAAATATTTATGCATCATAAAGGATTTTTCGTGTGTGTGCAATCAATTATTAAAGAGACCTTGTTCACTCTGTCAGATGAGTTTAATGTTTAGTTTGAGGCATGAAGAAGAAAAGGGTTTCCGTTCTTTAGCAATGAGCCTTTTTTTTTTTTTTTGGTCAGGTGTTACTTTAAGAAAAATGAAATGAAGGAAAAATTGTGCAATTTTGTTCTGTGAGCATACTAGTGCTTCGCTTTAGCTGCAGCTGTGACTGTCTTGCAGCTTTCAGACTTGGGAGTCTAGGTGGCTATTGTTAATTGTGATCCTGTGAGAATGTGAAACTGGATAATATATGAAATGCAAAATAAAAAAAAAAAATCATCCAGAGTGGCCGTTCTCTGACCCTTACTTCCACCCTCATAGGCTGCAGACTGCCTCTCCGAGGGCTTACCCAGGTGAAGTGTTGAGACCCAAAGGGTGGAAGAAGGGACGTGGGCCCTGCCTGGCTGGCCTGGTGAGGACATGAGAGCCCATATAGTCCCTCCTTCCTGTAACAAAGTCCTGGAGGCTAAGTGACTTGCCCAGTGGTCCTACAGCTGGGGGCCAAATCTGTCAGCCCGCCACATTTGAGAGTTACATGGAGTTCTCGGGGCAGCAACTGAGATGATCCAACTCATGCTGGTGTTCCCCGTACCCTGTATCTGCACCCAAAGTGATGTGCTGTCTCGTGCTTAACCCTTCATGGCCATGGTCTTTTCAAGCTGTCTAGTAGGAAAGGACGAGCCCTGGTGGAGCAGTGGTTAAAGCGCTTGGCTGCTAACTGAAAGATTAGCTATTTGAACCCACCAGCCGCTCCAAGGGAGAAAGATGTTGCAGACTGCTTGCATAAGGATTAGAGCCTTGGAAACCTTATGGAGCCATTCTACTCTGTCCGGTAGGGTCCCTATGAGTCGGAATCAACTCGAAGACAATGAATTTAGTTCTTGGTTTAGTAGGAAAGGGCTGCGGTTTGGAATGTCGGGCTCCTCCGCGTAGTCCTTGGGGTGTCTTGTGAAGCTGTGCCATAAGGGGGCTTCCCCTAGAGGGGAAGATGGGGCCCAGGAATCAGGCCCAGAAAGGGTGAAATGACTCACCTTGTAGGCGGGCAGTTCTGATTCCCTGAGCAGGAATTGCTGGAAGCCAGGAGCAAACGGGCATGTAGGTCAGGGAAGCCGTGGGGTGCCCCACCCTGGGCTGCATGGGACTGGGTGTCGGATGCCAGCAGCTGCCCCAGTTCTTCGCTTTGGGGATCTCGGGCGCCACTTTACTCATCTGTGAAATGGTGTTTGAAATCTTCCCGCCTCCTCAGGAGGTTCTGCAGCACCGGTCTGAAGGTTTTGTGTGCTGTTTATCTTTTCCATCCATGCTCGGGAGAGCTTCCCTGCACCCCATCCTCACCCCACACTTCACAGGGTGGCTCACAGCTGCGCCTGAAGAGGGAGGGCAGGAGAAGCCCCCAGAGCCTGCCTCCCCCGGGCTTCATCCCAGCCTTGCTCTGAGCGAGACGGAAGTGGCCGTGGCCAGCCGTGGTGGTTTACTCATCCGCACCTTGGGGGACCTGATGTCCCCCTCCTCTCCCTGCCTCACCCCTTTTCCTGAATCCCAGTCCTACACCCAGTGGCTTGGGTCTAAGGTGTTCACTTCTGGTGAAGGTGTCAATTGCTAAAGATGGGGTGACCAGGAAGCCTCAGCTTGTTTCAGCATGTGATAAGAGGACAGCTCTTGCAGGTGCCCAGAAGGAGAAGTCTGCCCAGGCCCAGGCTCTGCGGTGACTGGTGGCAGGTGGGTGGGTTACCTGGCGCCCAGAGACTCTGGGAGCAGGGGAGTTGGTGGCAGCATTCACACCAGGAAGAGGAGGGACGTGTGTGCTTTTATCGCCTTGTACCCCTCACCTCACTGCAGTATCTAGACAAGCTGGGCGCTTTGGCCCAGGCAGTGAGGCCTCCCAGCCTGCAGCCCCACCTCGTGCTGGGGGAGGCTGCTCAGCACGCAGCCCCCACCCCAGGGCAGAGCCAATGCCTGACCTACTTCAGCTGTCAGGAACCACTGGGTCTTTCTGAGGTGGTGAATTATTTAGCTGGGGCACCTGGGCCTTTCTGAAAGGGGCTAAGTAAGCTGCTCCATAATTTAAAGGCCCCCGTCTTCCCTGGGGGAACCTGCTTCATGCTCTGTCGAGCAAGGCCCAGGCCTGGGCCTGAGAGGAGGAGTGGGCAAGCGGGGGAGGCCCTGAGGCCGTCTCTGAGAGGCTCTTCAGTGGATGGGGGCTTTCCAGAGAAGCCGTAGGGACAGTCATTTATGGACTGAACTTGTGAAGACACGGTGAGGCTGGAGCCGGAGCTGCCGCTTGCCGACTCCCCACCCTGTGCCCTCTTCAGGACACATCTTATTCCTTCCGGGGTGTTCAGTCCTGATCTCCAGTCTGGAGAGGATTCAGGCATCTTGGAATAACCTACCAGCAGCACTGAAATCTCCCCCATGGCAAAGACGTCATCTTTACGAGTGCCTCCTCTCCCTTCTGCTCAAATGAGGCCAGTGCTATGTGGGTGCTCACTGAGGCACTGTGGATCCCCTACTGCCCCTGTATCCAGGCCAGAAGCCAGCTCTGTATCTTCTGGGGCAACAGTAACACACATCACCCCTGACTGGGCCACTCATTCCTGGGGGCCGCTTCCTGGTCAGCATTGTTAGGGATGGGATTTTTATTTTGGGGCATTGACAGGAGAGCAAAGTCCCTGGGTGGTACACACAGTTAATGCACTCAGCTAAAAACTGAAAGGTTGGAGGTTTGAGTCCATCTACAGGTGCCTTGGAAGAAAGGCCTGGCAATCCACGTCTAAAAATTGATTGGAAACCCTATGGAGCACAGTTCTACTCTGGCACAAACAGGGTCTCCATGAGTCAGAGTCAAGCTGCTGGCAACTGATGGGGTTCACAGGATAGCAGGTGCTCCAGAGGGTCTGCCTTTGGCCCTTCCAGGCTGTGGCCTGACACTGAGCTTCCCAGTGTTGGAAATCAGTGCCTGTAAAGTCTCTGTTCCTTGTCAGAATGCAAATACCCTTGAGAAAAAGGGCAGAGTCCCTCAGAGTAGTAGAAAGTGCCAGAAGGGGACCCTGGAAGGGAAAGGTGAAAATGGGTCCTGCAAAGGCATCAGGAGGAGAGAGCAAAACCTCTCCAGCAGCTGCAGGCTTATCCTCCTCCAGGCCAGTCCATGCAAGGCCTCCACAATGGGGGGCCAGCTTTAGGAGAACAGGCCTGTTCCCTGACAAGTTCCCCCAGAACAGGAGGTGCCAAGGAGCTGGGGGCCCAGCCTTGCGAGAGGGAGAGAAGCTAGGCAGATCACTGGCAATGTTCCAGGGCTGGCAGGGACCAGGCATGAGCTCCTGATGTTTCCTTCGGGCCTGCCTGACCATCACCCAACCCAGCCAAGCCCCTGGTGAGCATGGACAACGGACAACGTGTATGAGCGCCCCCACCCTCTGGCTTCTGGTTGGGGTTGCTGAGTGGAGGCCCCTGCAGTTTAGAGCGGGGTCAGTGAGTGAGGTCAGGCACCCCTGATGGTGACACTGACGAGCCCTTAAGATGGCCCTAGGAAAACAGAACCAGAGTGTTAGCTTTGACTACTTCCCTCTCCCATTTTACAGGAAGTTGAAGCACAGAGAGGTGAAGTGGTTTGCTTTAAGATCGTGAAGACAGTGGCCAAGCCATGCTCCTGACTCCCAGCCCTGTGCTCCTCCCACCACCCCCTGTGGCCATTCCTATACCACACACACCCCCTTTAGGACACAGGCAGAAGCCGGATGGCCACATGCCTGGAACCCTCTCCCTGCAGTTTCAGAAACAGGACTAGAGCTCAGGTTTGCTGAGTTCCCGTCCCTTCCTATCATGCCACACTATCTGCCTTCTGCTCGGGGGATCTTGATTTCTACATGACCTGCTCTCTCCCTGGGATACTGGGTCTTGCTCCCTGATTAAGGGGCAATGAGAAGGCTGTGACCCATCTAGCTTCAGCCCAGCCCTATGCAGTTTCTCTGGCCATTTTACTTAAAGGTGAGGGCTGTTGGGCTGTGCATAACACTCAATCAAGGAGTGGCCCTCTGCTTATGCAAGAACCAAGTCAGTATATCTCCATTTATGCCTGTGGTAGAGAAAATGCAACACCATTTTGTCGTAGGTGTCTAAGAGAGAAGTAATGAATGGCTGTATCACTCCACGAAAGCCTACGTTTTTCCCTCTGAATAGGTATATATTTCTTGGTCAATCAGTGACCTTTGCTCAGAGAGTTATCACGAGGGTTAATAGTAACACAAGAATGTGCCTAACACATAGTAGCTACTCAAGAAATGATTGCTGTAGTTGTCTTAAAGAGAGCATGACATTTTAATATTTCATCCTTAACAAGAAATGAAATTGAGTAGATTCTAATTTATGCACTCCTTGATTATTTATTCCCATGGATCAATAGTCCTCGAAGGTTTTTTAATCCCATGTTCCATCTGGAGGAGAAGTGGAAAGAGAGGGCTGAGGGCCCAGGGATCGTAAAGAACGCCTGCAAGCCCCCGAGCTGACTTTTGACACTTTGGTACCTCTGGATCTAACGCTAACTTTTTCTCTCAGACCATTTA